TTTGAAAGGGTACAATTCAGCTGGTTTTAAGGATGTTCAAAAAATTGTGCACATTGCACCACTAATTCCAGAACATTTCCACCATCGCCCAAAGAAACCCCACACCCATTAGCACTGCCTCCTCGTTCCCTGCCCCCACAGCCCCACTAATCTACTTTCTGTCTATAGGTCTGCCAGTTCTGGACGTGTCATATAAATGGAATCATACAATATGTGGTCTTCAGTGACTGGCTTCTTTCACTTAGCAGAACGTCTGTAGGGGTCACCCATATTGTAGCATGATTCGCTACTCCATCAAAGTCTACGATGGGTTTATAGTTTTTCCAACAAGAAAACCAAGACAATGCAATGGCACAGAGGCACAGATACCCAGAGTGTCAGGCCTGGAAGTTCAGGGTGCAGGCAGGAGCGAACCTTCATTCATTCACAAATTCAGCAACATTTATTGAGTAGCTTTGGTGCTACGGACTGAATGTTTGTGTCCCTCCACCACTGATATGTGGAAGCCCTAACCTTTGATGGGATGGTATTGGGAGGTGGGCATTTGGGACATGATTAGGGTTAGATGAGGTCATGAGGGTGGGGCCTCCATAATGGGAGTAGTGCCCCTATAAGAAGAGATACCAGAGAGCTTGCTTCCTCTCTCCCCACACTCATACAAAGAAGAGGTCATGTGAGCAAAGTCAACAGAAGAGGCAACAGAATAAAATATACCTTGTGTGGACCTTGATATTGGACTCACAGCCTCCAGAACTGTAAGAAATAAATTTCTGTTGTGTAAGACACTCAGTTGATGGTATTTTGTTATGGCATCCTGAGCAGACTAAGACATTACGCATGCCGGGCCGTATTCTAGGTGCTAGGGAAAGAGTGGGGAATTACACAGTGGCTTTGCTCTTTTTTTTTTTTTTTTTTTTTGAGACAGACTCTCACTCTGTTGCCCAGGGTGAAGTGCAGTGGTGTAATCTCGGCTCACTGCAACCTCTGCCTCCCGGGTTCAAGCAATTCTCCTGCCTCAACCTCCTGAGTAGCTGGGACTACAGGCATGCGCCACCACGCTCGGCTAATTTTTATATTTTTAGTAGAGATGGGGGTTTCACTATGTTGGCCAGGCTGGTCTTGAACTCCTGACCTTGTAATCTGCCTGCCTCGGCCTTCCAAAGTGCTGGGATTGTAGGCATGAGCCACCGCGCCCGGCTGACTTTGCTCTTATGGAGCATACAACATAGTGGGTTGAGACAGACATTTTGCATAGAGAGATAACTGAATATATCAGGTGGTGCATACTGTGGAGAGACATCAGGTGAGAAAAGGGGATGAGAAGTACTGGAATGGCTTTGGGAATGTTGCGGTTTTCATATGGTGGTCAGGAAGCCCTCCAGGAAAATGACACCTGGCTGCAGACATGAAGGAGCTGAGGGAGTGAGAAATGCCCTCTGGAAGAAGACTGGGCAAAGTAGGGAGAATAGCAAGTGCACAGACCTGGGCCAGAGTGCGGGCTTTGGTGTTCAAGAACCGAAGGGTGCCAAGTGTGTCTGTGGTGGAGTGAGCCGGGGGTGTGGGGGATGAGGCCTACAAGAGAGGGGACTGGTCACTAAGGCCTCGTAAGCTGAGGTCTCTGCCTCTCACTCTGAGTGACATGGAAACTCCAGGTGCAGGATTTTTCATCTTCAGCTCGCCACCCACAGTGATTTTGCTCTAGTTCTGTCTAGCCACACCTTCCTCAAGACCCCGGCTGCGACCCGCAGTCTTCTTTCTTGCTTTTATGGGAACACTGGATCACCAATTCATTTCAGATACCATCATGTACTGAACTCAAAATTGTCTAAGCAGTATTTGCAGTTGAATATACGTTCCCATAGAAACCTAAGAACAGGAGAAAGGAGCTGCCGAGGAGTGGGGGGAGGCTGTGTGGGGAGCAGGCTGGGGGCGGGAGAGGTGTGGGAGTGCCCCAGGGAAGCATAAAGAGAAAACCAGCGGAGAACCCGTAAAACTGACTTGGGAAAATCACGTGTCTGTTCTTTCAAGGTGGAGGGAATCTGATGCGAGGGAAGCCGTAATGCAGAGGGTTTATCAAATGCAGCGAGGTTAGTAGCACAGGACTAAGAGTCTCTTTCAGATAAGTGTAGGGAGACATGACTTTCTGCCACTTGAGGCAAAAGTTATGAATGACACCATGTGACATTCTATCCTGCTCTGCCGTCATGGGTCTGGAATGCCGCCTGCCATCCCTCTCCCGATTGCTCTGTGTGTCCTGCCATACCTGCGTGGGGCATTTCAGATATGACAGGAGCCCCGTGGAAATATGGAGGCTTCTCCTCATTCATCCTGTGCAGAGCCCCTCTGGGCACAGACAGTGGAAGTCCCGCAGCCAGTGTCCACCAGTGATAACAGCTCAGTATGACTCAGAGTACCTATCTGTGTTCAGACCTCTTTTAGGTTGTGGGAAAGCATTAGTAAACGAAATAGGCACCAGTTCCAAACCTGGCTTGGTGGCAGTCTGGGAAATGAACTGGAAAAGAGGAAACTCCTCCTCTCCTGGGAAATGAACTGGAGAGGAAGCAGCCCAGGTAGGAGGCAGTTACGCTGATGCGGGGCAAAGATAATGCAAGTGTGAACCACACTAGTTGCTTGGGGCCCCTTGCTTCTCACACAGGCTTTTCTGGGTAACATCAGCTTCCTGCATTTTATGGAGACCTCTGCTCAAAGGAACTCTCTAACCACCTGTCTTCTTTGCTCTGTTATCTTGCCTTGTCCCCTTAAATAGTACTGATCCCGACCTGACATCAGAGGCGGGATTTATATTTTATTTGTCTGTATGTTTATCATTTGTCTCCTTTTCCCAGAATGCAAGCAGCAGATTAGGGGCTTTGGTTATTTTTGCCTTTAATAAAAGGTATTATTGATTGTAGCTTGGGCAACATAGGAAGACCCCGTCCCTAGAAAAAATAAAATGATTAGTTGGGTGTAGTGGCGTGCACCTGTAGTCACAGCAACTCTGGAGGCTAAGACGGGAGGATCACTTGAGCCCAGGAGGTAGAGGGCACAGTGAGCTGTGATATGCCTCTGCACTTCAGCCTGGTCAAGAGCAAGACCTTGCCTCAAAAAAAAAAAAAAAAAAAAAAAAAGATAGTATCGATGTAGTAACTACTGTGAGTCCAGGTCCTGACGGGATAACAGAAAGCCTGCAGCTGGAGTCAGGCCTGCTGACAGTGCTGCTCTGCCACTTCCCAGCTGTGTCTTTGGGTAGATCATTTCACCCCTCTGACCGTTAAGGTCCTCACTAAAGTTGGATTCCTACTTCTTTTTTGGGGGGAACTCATATATTTAGTGGTGGTTTTTGTGAAAATGATCCTGTCATGTATTTGGATAACATACACTAGAAACCATCATTGTATGCTTAGAAACTAGAAAACAAAACCCAAAGAATGTGGGAGCTCTCTCCCTAATATTGATGATGAATGCCTTGTTAGCAAGATTTTGTCACTTTGGTTTTGTTCAACTACTGGTTGCCCAAGTTCATCTTTGCTTCTCATCAATTTTTTTTAGTGTTTCTGAGCTACCATTAAAAAAATATTATTTTTTCTTGTAAAATACACATAAAATTGACCATATTGACCATTTCAAAGTATACAGTTCAGTGATTTAAAATAAATTCATAATGTTGTGCAACCATCAATACCATCATCCATCTCTAGAAGTCTTCCATCTTGTAAAACTGAAACTCTGTCCTTATTAAACAACTACTTACGGACTTTGTTTCATTCATTGTTGTATTCTTGCCATTCTGTTTTTCCCATGCCAACTAAACCTTTCAAATGCATCCTGAGGACACTTTGAATTCCAGATATTCAAAGCTTCTTCCCACCAGCCTCCTTCCCCAGCAGCATCTGCTCCACTTCTAGTGAATGCCTCTTGCTGAAGTCACTCGCTGTCTCTCAAATCTTCAGCCCCAACCCTAGGTTCCATTGTCACTACATCCTGTTTGCCTGGCTCCCAAGGAAACTGTAGAACCAGGGGTTTACTGTGAAGTCTTTTAATTGAAGGATTTAGGGGTGAAGGATTTGTCCTGGGTGTGCTTTGAAGCTATGGCAGGAGCTGGTTTCCAGGACTTGGGGACTGCTGCATGGCCCAGAGAGAGAGGTTACTTGACAGAAGAGAGCTCACACCCTTTCCATTTGTTGATATTCTAATGTGTTTGGTTGTCCAGTCTTGTTCGATTACAGAAGTACTTTTTTTTTTTTTTTTGAGCCAGTCTCGCTCTGTTGCCCAGGCTGGAGTGAAGTGGTGGGATCTTGGTTCACTGCACCCTTCACCTCCTGGGTTCAAGTGATTTTCCTGCCTTAGCCTCCAAGAGTAGCTGGGATTACAGGTGTGTGCCACCTATTTTTAGTAGAGACAGGGTTTCACCGTGTTGGCCAGGCTTGTCTCGAACTCCTGATCTCAAGTAATCCACCTGCCTTGGCCTCCCAAAGCGCTGGGATTACAGACGTGAGCCACTGCACCCAGTCAAGAAGTACATATTTGGCCCTTAGGGTTTTCTGGCCTTGTCTTTATACTGAATCACCATATTCTCCTCCAATTGATGGAACATACTTACTTCTCTCTCCCAAGTAGGAAGAGGCATGACTTCTATCATTCCCTTTTTAACTATGGTAAGAGAGATGGAACAGCTGTAGAACATTCTCTCTATTTACTACTGATGATGAGTTCTGAATAATAATATTTTTTGCGGGGGAAGGGAGAAGTGGCAATTTAATTATCTATTTTTGGGGGCAACTCTAAAATTTAATTATGTGCTATTCAAGGTATTTAAAATAAGAAGCACACAAGTTTACTTGTTCACGATGTAGCCTTTGAATTGCCTCAATAGATGTCACTTTTTTTTTTTGCAATGTGTATCATCTATACCTATGAGAAATAAGCCAAAGGAACAGCCTGAGGTTCCCCCAAGCCTCTAAGCCCCACACACTTTCAAATCACAAGACAACTTGACTTACCGTGCGGCGATTTCATCTACTCTAAGACTCGTGTTCCTGCTTTCAAGGAGCTTGTGGTTGTGATGGGAAGACATTCAGGCTTCAACTCTACAAGATAATATTGCCAAAATAAGTTACAAATATTTTTAACCTGTCATAGGATCTGTTTGTGTGCATTCTGATCTTACTTTGCTGCTGGCTGTCCTTCTTCTAGCAAACTGAGCCACTGATCCTACTTCTGTGCCTCAAAAACCGAGCACAGAACGAAACCGCGGAAGACACTTGTGTTCTGTAACCAGCACGTTCCCTTCTCAGAGGCCGCTATAGATCTTACTGGAGATGCTTCTATGGAATGAAAGTCATTAGAGTTCAAGGAGACATAGGCCCTAGAAATGTCTAGTTCTGCATTTCAATGCGCCTTTGAGCTCTAAAAGGCACAACGCACCTGTCCTCTAGATGTACGCTCTGGAGATACCCTTGTGAAGGGTTTGCCTTCTGGCAGAGCTGCCTCTTCAGGCGGGACGGGGCCTGGCGGACGAGTGGGGCGGGGCGACTCCTTTGCTGACTGTCTGGATTGGGCAAGACGGAACTTGACTGGGCGGGGCCTGGCGGTAGGGGCGGGGCGACTCCCCAGCTAACGGTCCCGGCGGGTGGGCGCGTGCCCGCGGGCGGCGCCTGCAGGGCCCCTGGTGGGCCGGGAGCGCGCCGCCCCCGCCCCCGCCCGCTCCTCGGCCGCCGCGGCTTCCTCTAGCGTTTCCCCCTCGGCGCGGGCTGCTGCGTACCCGGCTGCGCCATGCGGATCCCGCCCTCCCGGCCCGCGCGGGGTCTGTGGGCGCGGCGGGGCCGGCCGTGATCGGGCGCCGGCGTCAGGGGCGGGCGCGAGTAGCGCCCGAGGCGCCGCGATGGGGGAGAGGTAACGCGGGCCGAGGCCGCGCGGGCGCTGGGCGGGCGGGTGGCGGCCGCGGCCCGGCTGAGCGTCCCTCTGCTTTCCACAGGTGGGTCCGGGTGACCGTGCTCCCCGGCTGCGTGGGCTGCAGGACCGTGGCGGCGCCGGCGTCCTGGAGCGTGCGCGACGTGAAGGAACGTATCTTCGCCGAGACTGGCTTCCCGGTGTCGGAGCAGCAGCTGTGGCGCGGCGGCCGCGAGGTAGGCGGCGGCCGGGGGCGCTGGGCTGGGCTGGGCTCCGCCGCGCGGAGGAACGGCGGGCGTCGGGGGCCCGGGGTGGGCGGCGCGGGTTTCCGCGGGCGGCGCGAGTGGCTCCGGCAGCGTGGCCGCCTGCGCCTGTCCTGAGTTGTGGCTGTTCATCACTTGCTGTTTCCATCTGCATCCCCCACCCCCGAACCCCACCATTTCGTCTGAATCTTCACTTTCTGAAATTCAGATAATTTTTTTGGTGGGCGTTGGAGTCAGAAGTTTTTTTTAGACATCATCAGTGAAGTGACTTAATCATTACTCATTTATTTCTATTTATGTGGTAAGTTTAAGTGGAATATTGGTAAATATCTTCACCTTTGATATCTTGCAAGTTTTTTCTCCATTTTTGGTACGGAAATTTAGCACTGAAAGAATCTTCAGACATAATATAGAACCAGTTATCTTGGGGAGTAAGCATACTACAACTTCTAAAGTGCAAGTGATGGGTTGACTTGATAGGTTAGCCAATTTTGGAAAACAAGAATATTTCATATTGTCATGTATTCTTTAAGATTGGTTAAAATTCTGTAGCTTTCTTAAAGGGGGAGTTCAGTTGAAGACGTTTTACTGACAGTTAACTTACTCTTTTAAAACAATTCTTTTATTCTAATAAACATCTTCATGTGATAACATCATTTCCAGCATTTAAAAGAGTCACAAAGAGTTGAACAGATAATACAAGGAATACTTGAGCATATAAGATGACATTTCAAGTGTTGGCTTTCCTTACTACTCGATACAAATATTATTGGTGAAGTAGTTGGCATCTGTGATTTTTTCCTGCTTCAGTGTAATCCTGACCTTCTGTGTACTTGAGTCAGTTTTCTAGTCCTTTGCCCTCCTTGACACACATTTATTATCTGTTTTCATGCTCCTTGGGGGATTGATCAGTCCTTCTGATCAGTTCCGCAAGCTGTTCATTGGCATGCAGACGTTGACTTTATTGAAGGCTTTATTATTTATTTTTACTTTTTTAAAGAGTTCAGCTTTCTACTGAACATGCTGTAAAAGAGGTTGGGTCAAAAAGTCCAAAGCCATCTCGTCACGAGAGTCCTGAGATTCTTTGCATCCCCTTCCTTCTGCTTAGCTGGAGCAACAGCGAGGGGCATGACGGCCTGTGGATGAAGCACTGGTCGCTGGACCAGGTCCTCCAGCCCCTACATGGCAGAGGAGGCTCCTGATGTTGACATTGGCCAGGGCCTCTGCAAAGAAGCCAGGCCAAAAAGGTTCAGCATATCCCCCAAGTGCCCTTCCTTCCTTCCTTCCGTCCGTCCTTCCATCCTTCGTCCTTCCGTCCTTCCGTCCTTCCTTTCTTTTTTTGAGACAGAGTCTCGCTCTGCCGCCAGGCTGGAGTGCAGTGGTGTGATATCCAACCTCCACTTCCTGGGTTCAAGTGATTCTCCTGCCCCAGCCTCCCGAGTAGCTGGGACTACAGGCGCGTGCCACCATGCCCAGCTAATTTTGTATTTTTGGTAGAGATGGGGGGCAGGGGGATGTTCAACGTGTGTTGGCCAAGATGGTCTCCATCTCTTGACCTAGTGATCCACCTGCGTCGGCCTCCCAAAGTGCTGGGATTACAGGCGTGAGCCACGGCGCCCGGTCCCCCAACTACTTTAATGAGGACATTCATCTTAACCTCCATAATGGACATCTCATTGTAGTGTAGGATGAGGGCCCAGTGAAGTCTGCAAGCGCTGAGACAGAGGCATTTGAGTGCTGGGCTTACGCTGCTGGACCGGGTGCTAGTTGCTGGATGAAGTGATGGCCTCACCCCAGCATAGCCTTAGCTTCTTTGGAAGGAATGGACCTCCTGGTGGCAGTGGGAGAGGCTGATTGAGAACTTTAGGCAGACTTGTGAAAGAGCAGTTTGTCATTCTTACTCCTTTCTCTATGCCTGCCCACATCTCTTAACCTTCCTCTCCTGGGTCTATACCCACTTCTTTGGTTACTCCTCTGGTTCTACTTGGTCATCTTGTCTCCTAGATGTGGTCACACTGAAAGGCTCCGTTGTGGCTAGCCTTGCCATTTAGAAGTGTTTTTGCAGGTGTCTCTGCAAAGCATGGATATGGGGTGGGGAAAGTGACAGGGTGTGTTGACTGGGATTGGGGGTGTGGGTAGACAGGGGTCTAAGTAGGACCCTTTTGTCCTGGTATGAGGTAATGAGGTTCTGGACTGTGGCTGTAACGGTGAAACCGAAGGAAAGGATATACAAGAGACTTTGTAAAAGGCAAAATTGCCACAGTTTGGTACCAAATGGATGTGGAAGTGGGGGATGGGTGCAGAATAAGTTGGTAGGTCTTGCCAAGGACGTTGGCAAGCTTTGAGTCAGACCAAGAAAATAAGGGTTTAATCATCAGAGATAAGCACATACAGAGAGGGGGGAAGTATGGTGACCAGTTTGCTTTTATATGTAGTTCAGCTGTTGGTGAGACATAAAGAAGCATGTAGGAAACTAGGAAATGGAGAGGTGGGTGCCTTAGGTCCTACTTCCTGTCCTGCCTGTGTATATGTAACAGGTGCCAAATTAATTCATGTGTTGGGGCCTGATTTCCTATTTCTGGTATGAATGGGATAAAGCTAATTCTAACCAATTATAAAGTCCCTGCTAGATAGTGATATTCAGTAGGCAGCTGCAAATCTGGAACTGAAACTCGAGAGAGGTCAGGCTGGAGGTAGTCACTGATGCTGGGCGCAGTGCTCCTTCTGTGTTTGGTAACATGTGTTGAGAATATGCTTATCATGTATTGAGCCGCTGTGTTACAGATACCGTTCTGTGCATGAGGGATTTGTCCTGGATAGGTGTGCCGTGCCACTACTGCACAGCTACGACGTTAATGTTTTTTTTTAAATTTCTTTTTTTTCCCTCTTAAGGATTGGACTTTAATGTTTATATTTGATTTTAGCCTAATTTGATTCTTGGTGCTTTTAGGGGTGGAGACTCTACACGAGTTTCTTAGTTACAGAGAGTCTTTGTGCTCTGGCTTTCCCAGATGCTGGGTGTAGTAGTTATGTACTTGGGATATGGGCAAATTCACCATCTCCTTTGGGGTTGGAATGGCAGGGATCCCTTGAAGCTTATCTCGTTTTCTCATGGCATATGCTTTATTTATTTAATTTCCCCCAGCATTTTATTTTCTTAGTTGATGATTCAGGCTTCAGGCCGATAGGGGAGGTATCCCTGGGTAGTCACTGGTTGTGGCTAAGGCAGGTGGGTAGATGCAATACCCAATGGTCGGCAGAGGTCCCAGGCTCGAAGATGGTGGCTGGGGGAACCCTCATTTAGATGTGCTGAGGTTGTATCAGGGTGAAGAGTAGAAGCTACCTCAGTTTCCCTGCCAGTCCAGCAGGAAAGCTGTCCACCTCACAGCCTCACTCCTGTGCCAGTTCCGGTTCTTCAGATCAGATAGGCACCTGTTTTCATCGGTAGGAGTGTTGATGTTGCAAGTAGGGATGAGTTGTGACCCTGCCTCTCCTGCAGGCCTGAAACTGGGGAGTGTTCCCCCTGTGAACCTGCGCTCACCCTGGATTGTTCCAGGAAGGCTGTCTACAGGTGCATCCGCTGTTGCCCAGGGTAGAGTGCAGGGCATGATGTTAGCTCACTGCAGCCCTGAGCTCCTGGGCTCAAGCAATCCTCCTGCCTCAGCCTCCTGAGTAGCTGGGAGTACTGCACCCAGCTAATTAAAAAACAGAGACAGCATCTCACTGTGTTGCCCAGGCTGGGGCTTTCTTATAATAATTGTTTAACAATAGAATGATCATCTGTGATGATGTCATTCAACCAGAGAACAAGAACAATGTCAGTACTTACCTCTGGGCATCTTCTCCCCAGCCTGTATTCCTGTCTGTCTTCCCTTACCCGTTTGTGCTGATTATTCTTTTGCCTTTTTGGTAGTTGTAATAGTTCTGTAAGTGTGTGTGTGTATACTTATGTATGTATGGATATGTGCATATATGTGCATATATGTTTGTGTGTGTAGCCTGAATATGTAACCTAAACAATATGCTGTTTACATTCAGTTGTTTTTAAACTTTATAAGAAACATTCTGTAGGTAGCAACTTAGAGCCAGCTTATTTTATGCAATCGTATTATTATTCATCTAAATTTGTGTGCAGTTTAGTTAATTCAGTTTTAATTGGTGTATAATAGTCATTAATATGTCACAGAATTTGGGTCGTTTCTAAATTTTTGTTGCGAAGAATGGTCTTCCTGCTGAAGTACCTGCGCAAAGAGTGAACTAGTTTTTAAGCTTTAAGGTTTAGTGGGAATACGTGCATGAAAGTGCTTTATAATCTGGAACCTGTAACAGCATACTCAGCTTTGTGTTTTAGAGATGGAGACTAGAATGAAGATGATGTACAGAAAGTAAGGAGACCAGATGGGGGATCGTTACAAAAATCCAAGAGATGTTAAGAGTCTGTACATTGGGACGTTGTGAAGAGCAAGTTAGATTTGAGAGAGACTGGAGGATGGACATGCCAGGATCCAGAGATTATTAATTGGACTTGTGGTTTGGAGGAAGAGACACATTTTCCATGTCCTTTCCAGCTGAAATGACTAGGTAGATGGTGACACTATTAACTGAGATACAGAATAGAGACGGGAGATACACGTTGGAAGGAAAGCGAGTGTGAGTTCTCCTTTCCACAGGTTGAGCTTTAGAGCCATGGAGGGCGTCGGTGTGAGAAGGTGGTGGAGAGACGGAAGTACTGAGTTTTGGAATAGTGAGGGACGGCCTGCACACCCTGCCAGGGAAGGGTCAGCGAGGACGGTCATCTTTCCAGTGAGCTTTTGAATCATGTTCCACAGATTGTTGACCTGTGAGAGGTCACTCTGTAGGAACACTGAGGGAGGGACCCTGATGGGGAGAGGTTGATCTGGCCTCAGATTATTTATGTTATTTTTCCAAAAAGGCACTCGGTTACACTGCTCCCATGGGTTACAGTAACACATGTTGCACTCTGCTTTTATGAGAAACAGAAAAATTGCCAAAAAGAAAGCAAACATCAAGGCATTTTTTAGGAAAGTCAGTTTCAAGGAAGTTATAGACCAAAGCAGCTCGGGGTAGGAAGCCTCATTAGTCCCCTCTTTCCGCATCACTTTTTTTTTTTTTTGGTAGCAGCATCTTTAGCAGTGTTTTCCAAAGTATGTCGAGTACTTTCCCATAGGGTGTTCTTTCATAATAAAGAAAATGCTGCTAAAATTTGGGAAATACTATTTAGTACAGTTGTTTCTAAGACAGTTACCATGCATATGAATATGTTAAGTTTCCTGAAAACCAACTTATTCCAACTAATTAAAAAACAGAATTTTTTTTTGGTCCTCTAATAAGTGTTGAGGTCTCACGGAGCTTTGTTATGAGCAGTGCACTTTGAAAATGTTGATCAGAAGAATGATTTTGTTTATGTTAATGATCCCAATTCATCATTTAAAATTTAAATTATATTAATGGAGAAATATATGTATTTTTATCTATTTGTAATTAACGAAAAATCTTTTAATCCCTTAAATTTTTAAATAAAGTTTTTGACTAAATCTCTGTTCTGTGGAATATTCACTTCTCCAGACAACTTCCTTCATGATAAGAAGATTTAACAAGCATTACTTAAGTGAAAAAATTTAAGATAATGTTTTGAATTTACAGTATTAGAGACTATATTGCTTTTCTTACATTTTCTTTTGTTTTTTTTTTCAGTTATCTGACTGGATCAAGATTGGAGATCTGACTTCCAAAAATTGTCATCTTTTTGTAAACCTTCAATCAAAAGGCTTAAAAGGGGGAGGTATAATATTGACTTTACCAGAAGTATGTGCCATGTTGGGTTGCATAAAGATTGAGTTTGTTTGGTTGGTTGGTTGGTTTTTGAAACTGAGTCTCGCCCTATTGCCCAGGCTGGAGTGCAATGGCGCAATCTCGGCTCACCACAACCTCTGCCTCCCAGGTTCAAGAGATTCTCGTGCCTCAGCCTCCGTTCAAGTGATTCTCGCGAGCCTCCCAAGTAGCTGGGATAACAGGTGCCTGCCACCACGCCTAGCTAATTTTTGTATTTTTAGTACAGGCGGGGTTTTACCATGTTGGCCAAAGCAGCTGGTCTCAAATTCCTGACCTCAAGTGATCCCCCCTCTTTGGGCTCCCAGAGCATTGGGATTACAGGCGTGAGCCACCGTGCCTGGCCAAGGTTGAGTTTTAACAAAGAAGCAGGGAGTAGAATGGTGGTTGCCAGGGAGAAATGGGGAGGCGTTGGCCAAAGGTACAAAGTTTGCTATATGAATAAAGAAGATCTAGAGATCTACTATACAATACAGGGCCCATGAGTAACATACTGTGTTGTATTCTTAAAAACTTACTAAGTGGGTAGGGTAGATCTGATACTAATTACTCGTACCATAAAAGTTTTAAAAAGCACAACAGAGGAGATGGGAGGAAACTTTTGGAGATGATGGATAAATTCATGGCACTGACAATGATAGTTCGATGGTTTCATGGTACATACTTATCTCCAAATGCATCAAGTTGCAAAATAAATATTTACAGCACTTTGTACGTCAGTTGTACGCAATAAAGCTGTTTTAAAGATTATGTTTTAAAAATGAAAGAAATCGTATCCCATTGGGATACAGTGAGGGGACATCAGGGCCAGAGGAAGACAAGCACGGATGGAGCTAGTTGAGTTATAAGAATGCGTGGGGGCCGGGCGCAGTGGCTCAGGCTCGTAATCCCAGCACTTTGGGAGGCCGAGGCAGGCAGATCACGAGGTCAGGAGATCCAGGCCATCCTGGCTAACACGGTGAAACCCCGTCTCTACTAAAAATACAAAGAATTAGCCAGGTGTAGTGGCACGCATTTGTAATCCCAGCTACTCGGGAAGCTGAGGCAGAAGAATCACTTGAACCCGGAAGGCAGAGGTTGCACTGAGCTGAGATCGCGCCACTGCACTCCAGCCCAGGAGACAGTGCGAGACTCCGT